GGCGGCCCTGAGGGGCGGGAAGCGCGGCGGTTCCGCCGGGCCCGAGGTGGGGTGAAGGGACTCCTGTCAACGGGGCGACCCCGTCTGCCCGGTACCCGGGGTGGGGGGAGCGAGGGGCCGCGTCCCGGGGGAAGGCGGCGCTCCCGGCGCTGTTCCGGGGGTGTCACCGCCTCGTAGCGGCCCCTCGTCGGCGGGGAGCCGCTTTGGCCGGGTTTGGACGCGTTTTTGTCCGTATCGGGCCTTTTTCTTGAAGGAGCCGTTGTGGGTACGCTCAGTTTGCTGTCACGGTAGGTTGAAAAGCGGTCGCCCGAGTGTTGGCCCCGTCTCGGCCCCTCTCGGCTCTGGGGCCGGGTCCAGGTCCAGCCCGTCGGGGAACGGGTCCATGGACAACGCTGTGGTTGTACTCAAATCCGGACTCTCTCGGCTTCGAGAGAAGGAAGGCATTGCGTAAAGAAGTGTTCCAGTCACGGAGGTAGAAGGTGGGACGAGGGCGTAGGTTGTGTCACCGAAAGGGAGAGTGGCTGTGTCGGGGGACTCGTGAAGATGAAGATGGTTTTGGAGATGCCTCTTGTTCTGAGGGTCAGGGAAAAAGTAGAATTTAGACTTGTTAAAAGTGCACGACTTGCCGCATGGCCTGGGCTGAGCGTAGGTAACCCAGACTTCCAAAGAAAGGGTGTTCCGAAGTGTCGGATATGCTCCGATTGGAAGTGTTCAGTGAGCAACGTGTGTTCTGTGTTGACATGCACATTGCCTGTCTTACGCTGCAGATAAATTTGGGAGCTTATTGAAACAAATGTTGTTTTCAGAGATCAGTTGCGTCTCCTTTCCGGACCATCTGTAGTTTTGCTGTTCTTATATTTAAAACTGTCCAGTTTCGGTTGTGGGGTTGTGTCGTTGTTTGGGTTTTTTTTCAGCAACTGGTGTATATTTGTTGTCTTTCCTTCTCAGAGTTATATAGTTTTTGTTGTTTGTGTTCTGTGCTGATTCTTCCAATATAATTGTGTACATACTGAAATGAATTAAAACACTGTAATATTGATAACATTTGAATGGCCAGAAGGTATGATGTGGGAGAGGGGATAACAACTTCTGTAAAATTGGACTTCTGTTAAAAAAAGTAAAACAATAAAAATCCCAAGTTAACTGCCAGGGAGTTATTTTTGTCACTTCTGTCTTCACAGAATTTTGTTTTCACAATAAATAGAGCTTGCATATCTTATTGTAGGCAGTTGTCTGTATCTCACACAAGGTAGCGTATCTATGCTTTTAAACATCAGTGGTGTTATGACTCTGAGATAAAGCTGTTTTACTGTGTTTGTATTCGTTAAGCTTGTCAGGAGCATGCAATGTATCAGAATCACTATCAGGGTAATCTTGTAAGCCAGCCTTTTATTCGGTTGTGTTGTGACATTAAAGCATTGTCAGATATTTACTTGATCTTGGTGAAGAAATTTGCTGGCTTATCCATATACATAAAGAAATCTTAACTTAGTCCTTTCTTAAATAAATAAAAAAAAAAAATCAAACTCTTCTTTCACTTAAACCAGAGAGAATTTGTCAGTGGGGTGTTGGGAGCTGTGATGTGTGCGGCTGTGTCGGGAGACCTGGGGGGGCTGCAGCCTTGTCACCCAGCTCAGGTGTAGCAAGTGCAGGATGCCTGTCTGCTGGGGTAATTAGTACTTGCCCCTTGAACTTCATCAACATACGCTTTGTTTCTATGGCAAAGTATGAATAGGTGTTTTTTACATGAGGTGATTTTACACGTACTTTTCTGGTACACTTCCTATTCTCAGGCAGGAGTTCACTGTTCACACTCACAGTTCAGGCTTGTCTTCATCATACACTTCCTGTTTTGAATCACTCGGGGAGATAGGTTAAATCTGTTTTCAAGCTTCTCCCTTGTTGTATTTTGGTATCAGCTTAAGCATATTTTGGTTGTGTCCATAATTGGATCTCTTTTAAAAATTATTCAAATAAATTCCAGCACAGGCACTTAATTAAATTTAAGCCTGAAATACCAATTTTCCCATAACCTCACAGTGTCCTCTCTATCTTCAAACTGTCTAACACTGTATTCCTTTTCCCTTCCCCATCCCCACCTGTTACTCGAGAACAAGTAAATAGTGCTATTAAAAAAACCTCCTTCAGTTAAACCAGTGTGACTCAGAAAACAGGTTGCAGTGCTTAACTTCCCATCACTTTTTTGATCACTCCCCTCTCCACCATGCACACTGTCGAATCTGCTCTGTTCCCTGTCGTTTGTGTTTCTGAACTGGGGCCTGAGCTGCTGTCTGTTGTCTCTCTGGTCTCCCCAACACTTAGTAGGAGCAAAGAGCGTTCTCTTGGCCCACTGTGCTGAACTTATCAGTTCCCTTGCCAAATCTGTCTGTTGTCTTTTTTTTTTTTTCTTTATTGTCATCTTTTTTTTTGCAACACACCATCCACATTTCCAATGGTGCCAGTTTTTGACAGATTCTACGTAAACACAGACTCTTTCATCAATGTGATTTCTTTTAGGTAGAATGTACAGCTTTTTTTCTTCAGAAGAATTTTCAAGCCACATTTCTCCTCTGAAATGACCAAATAAACAGCAACTTACTTTATCATGGCTAAAGGGCTGTCATTTGGGGCCAGTTAAGTTATGTATTGAGGTGGGTGTAAAGAAAAAGAAACACACCATGATGACTGTTAGAACAGTGAGGTTCACAAACAGCTATAACCAGTGATTGAAACAAGAGAGGTAATGGCTTTCCGAAGAATCCTATTAGTTTATGAATGAGTGTGTGATAAGGTTGTCTGTAATGAAAAGGGACTAGACTCATTAATCTGGTAGGCTGCCTCCAGTCTTGGGTTGTTAGCTTAGCGCTAATGCATCTCATTTCATTGTCATTTCTTTTCCTTCTTAACAGTGAAAGTTGTTAAAATAATGGAATGATTTAATAAGGAGGTTGCATGCTTGTTATTAATTTGTTTTTTAAATTAGGTTAGGGTTGTTTTTTTTTTCTAAAACATATGCTTTAATTTGGCTCTGGGCTCTGATAGTTATCATCTGTGAATAGGTGCTCCCATCCTTCATGGCCTGTGGTTTGAACAGGTTTGCCTACGTTGCCTTCAGCACACACACATCAACTCTGCTTAAAAACCACAGCGATTGCCTTCAGCACACACACAACATCAACTCTGCTTAAAAACCACAGCGGTGATCAGATCTCATGTTTCAGGGATTCAGTAAATCTATTGCATGGGTCAGAGAAGACTTTTTTTATGATGCACAGTTGCTTAGATGTATTCTGACAGGATGCAGAAGATCTCTCTCTCATCAGATACTGGTTTTGTATTGTACTCGCTTATTTAGCCTCAAACTCACCTCTGGATTTGAAATTAAGAAGAATTTTCCAAAACAGAAGAGATCTTGAATTCCTTTTTCTTTCTCCTGGGATGCACTAGATCTGAAGATCTGTCTTGCTACTCAGTTAATGCAGAGTTCTTGGCATGTTGAGTGTCTTGTCACTGACAGAAAACTGGAGTTTCTTCCGAAGACTAAGCTGAGAGCCGCAGAGGGATTTCAGTTTAACGTCCTGTTGTGCATATATTCAGTTTCAATCTGATGTAACATTCCTACTCGGTTTTATATTTTTTGATGTTTGAAGCTACATAATAGCTAGTATGTTATTTACTATGTCTACCTTCCATCAGTTGTCTTTCTGGTTTGTTTATAAGATGGCTTCAATTTGGATCTGTTCAGAGGTGAAGTTAATTTGCTTGACAGTATTTGATTTTACTGAGCCTATAACTTGACACATATGTATCTTGCTCTGTTTTTTTTTTTTGTACTGTGACACACTTGAGTGTCTTTGTTATTTAATGTGGAAATTAAAAAACATTGTAATAATATAGAATTGAAGACCGAGTAGTATGTGAAAAAGCATGACTACTGTTACCACTTTTTATTTATAGACTTCTGAGTTTTTGAAAAGACGGGGTGGGTACTATTGTTAGAAATATTTCTGTAGGACTCCACTAAATGATGTGTAAGCCCTGAAAGACGGTAATAAATTTAGTGTCCTGTTACATTTACAAAGGAAAGTATTCTATTTTCATAGACAGAACTGCAAACAGTGGGGCTTTTTTCTCCTTGCTGTCCTAGGACTCCTACAGCCCCAGTAAGTGCAAGGGCTGTTATTTCCCCAGCATCCAGAGACACAGCAAGGTTGTAACATTTACTGGCTCATGTAATGGCTAAGCAGTAAAGCTAAGGTTGGAAGGCAGGGCTCCTCATTTTAGACTCTGTGCTTTAAATGCAAGGTCACATTGCCTTCTGTGTTGTAATTAATGTACTCTTTTTCAGATCCTTGCTGGGCGTCTATAAACAGGGGGATTCTGATCTGTGACGAGTGCTGTAGTGTTCATCGAAGTTTGGGGCGTCATATCTCTCAAGTAAGACATCTCAAGCATACACCATGGCCTCCAACACTGCTGCAGGTAAAAAGTAAAACTGTGTCTTACTTCATTAAAACTATTATTTTTTTAACATTTTTTAATGGAATTTAAGTCGCTAAACTTTTGTTTGAAAGGGGATGGACCTTATAAGCTTTCTTTTTCTAAGTTAGTCTCCGTTTATTTCTCTTGTTTTGCAGTGGTGGACCACTAAAATCAGAATTGTCTATGCCTTTTTAATTTGATACCTTTGTTTTCGAAGGTGGCCTTCAACTTTTTTTTCAGACTTCTGCAGTGCATCTGCTTCAACCTAAATTTTCAAGCCTCTGTTTCAGTAGAGCTGCTGTTGGGAAGAGCAGGGAATTTTAAGGGGGTTCCTGTTACATTTCACATAACAACCTCCTAGACACGTGCCTGGTTCCGATATCCCAGTAGGTTATGGGTGCTGCCACACAGAATATGAATCTCTGTTGGCTTGCTGTCTACTTGAAAATAATTATAGCTATTTGATTAGTCAGTCTGTGCAGCTAGCAGTGACATTTCTTTACTACCTGTTTGTATACATGTTGGATTGCAGATGGTTGAAACACTGTATAATAATGGTGCTAACTCCATATGGGAACATTCGTTGCTGGACCCTGCCTCTGTTATGAGTGGAAGGCGCAAAGCTAGCCCACAGGATAAAGTGCAGTAAGTGGAAAATTACAGAATTTTTATTTTTGTAGAAGCGTGATTATTTTATTCAGCAGTGACAGAGGCAGCAAGGTATCCATGGGAACCTGGATACTGGAAGAGAACAGGAGTAAACTAGTTACTTGTTCAGGTTTTTTTGGTTTGGGGTTTTTGGTTTTTTTTGGTTTTTTTTTTAATTCCCAATGATTAAATTTTTACAATTTATCTCAAAAATGGAAATACATTGCTTGAATTCTCTGAATTATTGATTCCTGACCTCTAGCTTTGATTAGTGAGGACCTTTACTAGTACTTGAATCAAAAAGCTTCTAATTCTCATGCCATGTGCTTCAGTTAACTCGGTGCTGCTAATGAGATTGAGTTTGGTTGATGAATTAAAAAAATAGTTTGAGAGAAGATTACTGAATATGGTATTTAATTTTGAAATGTAAATAACTGCATATAGTAAGTATAGATCTTAAGTTGGCATAACTTTAAGTTCAATGTTTACTTCAAAGAAATATATAATACGTCCTACAGTCTGCAAATATTTTGAAGTTTGTAACAAAAGTATGCTCTGTATAGTTAGACAATCTGCACTGGATTGTTTTTTTAATGAAAATACTTTTCCATGTCTAACTTTGCTACTAGTAGCAAGCAAAGATCTAATGCAATTTTCACTTGTGAATTTTCCTTTTTCTAGAGCATCTGTATTATTGTGAAAGCACTAATATTTATTTTCTTTCCCTTCTGTTGCTTGGGTTTCTCTTTACAGTCCCAATAAAGCAGAATTCATTAGAGCTAAATATCAAATGTTAGCATTTGTTCACCGCTTGCCATGCCGTGAAGATGACAGTGTTACTGCCAAAGATCTTAGTAAGGTTAGTATGTTTTTTCTGGCAGTCTGCAGAAGCTACAACTTCTGTGTAATGTAACAGTGAAATCTGACTGAATTAATTAGTTGCTTTTGACTTGAGATAACTATTGCTGTTCTTCAGCACTATTACGTAAACAAATACAGCTTGACTTTAACTCAAAGCTGCTTTTTTTTGGTCATGTATATAGATAATGGAGATGTGGAAGGCTGAGAGGCATCAGTTTACGTTAACTTGGAGAAAAATGTTTAGGCAAAACAGCTGTAGTAGGAATTCTTGCATGCCCATTTCTAAAAGCACGGCTGAAAAAACAAATGCTGAATCACAGTTATTGCCACTGTATTAAGTACAATTCTTCTTTTTCAGCAACTCCATTCCAGTGTAAGGACAGGGAATCTGGAGACGTGTCTGCGATTACTCTCCTTAGGAGCTCAAGCCAACTTCTTCCATCCTGTATGAACGCTTTTTTCATTATTTTGATATAGAATCCATTCTTACACTTTGTAATATTTATACCCATTTCAGCTGGTACACATTATATTTCGATCTTCTACTGAGACCTCTTGATTAAGTAGATATTTTTTTAATAACTTGTAGGAGAAAGGAAACACCCCACTCCACGTTGCTGCTAAGGCAGGACAGACTTTACAAGCGGAATTATTAGCGGTTTATGGTGCTGATCCTGGCACGCAAGATTCCAATGGAAAAACTCCAGTTGACTATGCAAGGTAGAAGGCTCTGACATGTGTGACGCTCATATATGTGATGCTCTTGTATGTTAATTGATGTTCATAAATCACATGATGAACCTGCTTAGATATGTTTCAGTCCTGAAAATAATTTGATTGTTAAATTCTAGTAAGTACTTTTTCCAGAAAGAGCAAATGCATAAAGAATATAAATAAGCATTTTCATCATTTCATAGCCTGTATTCTCCTGGATGCTTGAGACAGCAGGTGTGATCCCGATGAAACAGGCTGTGCCAATCTAGCAGCTCACAGAAAAGTAATCTAAGGACAAGAGTTTCTGCAAGTTCAGCAGATTAACTAGGGAATTGCTGTAGGAAAGGGCTGGACTGCACAGATGGGTCAGGGAGCAAGGGCTGGAACCAGGCTTTTTAGTGGCAGTGAACTGTTAGGTGCGTCCAGTTCAGGACCCTCAGGAAGGCCTACCTTTAGAAAGGCTCTAGGCTTCCCGAGGGCGGACAACATTCATGTCAAGAAAGATTAAATTACACATGAATCTCTCTGCTGATCAGTTGGGCAGTAATGAGGCGGTGCAAGACTTGCAGCACAGCACTGAAGATTTTTTGTGTTTATATGCAAAATTGGACATTACTGATCAGCCAGAAGCTGCACGTTTGTGTAAAATAAAATATCCTCGTTGCTCTGGTTGCTTTTCAATTGAGGCCATACATGGAATCTGAAGACTGAGTAAGTTCACTTGGTTGCAGAACAAAATATGCAGAACACAGTATTTCTGTTTCTCAATGCTGTTAATCAAATGTGAAATTGGGTAAACTTACTGCATGAGCTTAGGAACTGTCTAGAAAACTGTAAATAATGTATTCAAAATAGCCTAGATAAACTGTCTTTTTTTCTACAGCAAATCAGTAGGCGAAGGTTTTCAGAGTTTTCACTGTCTCATTTTGGGAAGTTCATAAAAGTTTATCTATAGGGTTTTTTTCCCACTGGAACATACTGTTGAAAATCCTGCTGTGTGTCTGTGCTGTGTTGATACACTCAAACGTGTGTGGTGTCGAACACTGGCTTGTACTAAATTTATTTCTTTGACCATTTTTTAATTTTTTGTATGTCTCAAATGAATAACTAATGTCATCTTTGTGTGTGTGTAAACCAGACAAGGTGGGCATCATGAACTGGCAGAGCGCCTGGTGGAAATTCAGTATGAACTCACAGACAGGTTAGCTTTCTATCTCTGTGGCAGGAAACCAGGTAAGCAGAAAAAACTACGCTCTGAGATCTGTCAGTGTTAATTATTGAACATTTCAAACTATGGTATATAATGTGTGTGTCAGTGTTACTGCATTTTATATGCATTTCAAATATTCTAACATATAAATTACACAGGAAGAACTAAAGAAACTGTAAGATGTAAGATTAGTGATAATGCATTTAAAATTCAGATAAAACTGCAGGATTTTAAGTACACCTAAATTAAAAATTAAGTTCCTTTCTGTTTTTCCACAAATATGTGTTCTATGAGTGGACTATGCCTGAAAAAGGAGAAACCAACGTATAAGATCAGAAGAGTACTGTTTAACTTCGAGTGAATTGCAGGGAAAATACAAATTTTGTGAATGTTGAATAGTCTGCAGGAGGTACTGTAGAAACTCTTCTAAGTAGTTTCTTCTCATTGAAATGCAAAAGCAGGGGAGTATTCAATTAAGTGGGTACCTTTTGAACACAAGCACACACAATTTTTAGCCATTAGGTGCCATAAGGGCACTTATGTAAGAACGTTTTTTTTTTTTTTTAAAGGAATTTTAATACACTTGATAAGCCTTAATTAGAATCTTTGATAACACTGGGAAATTGTGGTAGGAACCTTCTTTTAAGACTTGCTAGTTTCCTATAATTGGAAATTGAGTAATTACATGCAAGATAAACTATTCTGTGTTTGCCTGTTGCATATCATCTTGGGTTTCTCATTACTGTGTCTTTTAGTAAAACTGAATACCAGCTGTGTAGCCTTGCAACATTAAAAACTATAGTCTGGTAACAGCCTATTAAAGTGCAATTTGTTTTCAACTCTAGAGCATAAAAATGGACAGCACTTTGTTATACCTCAGATGGCAGACAGGTAAGATGCTGATTCCATGGCATGTCTGAAAACATCAAAATAAAAAGCCCCATAATAATAATAATAATAAAGTTTCCTTTCTTTTCTGAAACAACTTTTAAGCTTGTTGTCCTTGTAACCTTTTAATGTCTGCCTCTATCGAGCTTGGAAACTTTTTTTTTCCCCTAGAAATAATATTGGCATTTAAGCAAAATCAGAAAATTATAGAAGTGTACTGTATTTGTTAAAATGCAGGGGGATGGGGAGACAATTATAGTAAGGGAGCACACATGGGGATTCCTGGGAAACAGCTTTTGTAAATAATGTAAGGACCAATTGAGTTAGTTTCCTGATACAGCATTTTCAAACTAATACTTGCAAGACAGCTGCATTTTTTTTCTGAAAATATTTATCCTTTTGATCCATTCAAGTGCTTTTACTTTTTGGTTATGATCAATGAAAACATATTTGTATAAAACATACCAAGTATTAATCGTAAGTCCCTATTTTTCTTTTATTGCTGTGCAATTGGAAATAAGACGGCTGTAAGTAAACTGTTGTTCAACTTCTTGCTTGTAAAATTTCTATGAAAGACTTGTAATAAAAATTATAGAGAGAAACTATGTAATAGCTGGTAAAATACTTAGTGTTAACATCAGTAATTTTTTTAGATATGCTGTGTGTAGCTATTGATAAAGTACTGTGTGTTTTCAGTGCAAAGTGTTTTGCAGAGCAGAGTAAGTATCATTTGCCTCTTTACAAAGAGAAGGAAGTTGACATGCAGAGAAAATTACTCAAAGGTGCTGCTCAGATTGCAGAGCCTGCAGTACAGCCTGACTGTCTCACTTCTGCCTGATGTCCTCCGCTGTTCTTTTTCTTTTCTTTTTTTTTTGTTTTTTCTCTCGTGTCTAAGTGATTGCCCACAATAACTCTCTGTGATGTCAGTTAATCATACAGAGGCTTTGTTTGAGCCTTTCCAGCCTTGTAGGTCGGGGAGTCTTCCCTTGGGTGATATAAACATGGGATTCAAAATTTTGTCAGCTTCCTGATCTGTAGCTTTTATGATAAATTCTGTTGAACAGCACAATTTTTATCTTGTGCCTCATGTTCAAGGCTAGAAACTAGTAGAAGACATTATTTACTGATCAGTACAGACTAATTTTAAGCACAGCCCTATTGCTGCAGCCATTTGCCAGCCTGGTGGTCACCTGCCTCCTGCAGAGCCCAGTGGAACAAATCCTGTGTGTTTTATGTGGAGTTGAGTTTTGGTCAGAAGGATCATATTGTTCAGATTTCTTACAGAAAGCATTTTGTTGCACTGCAACTTGACGGCTTCTTAAACTATGCAAATGGGGGTATTTATATTGCAAAGGATTTGGGGGATTCTTTTGTTTTAAATTTAAGTTTGTTCGTTAGAAAATCTTAAGAATGTACTAATTGCTATATTAGCAATATTGGTAAGATGAATGTGTTAAAAATCTTTAAAAATACTGAAAGACTAAGGAAAGTGACATTTTAATTATTGAATTACTGAAATGTAGAATTTGTGTTTAAACAAGCCATTAAATGCTGTGGATGTAATGATCACTTTCTGTTTTCATAGCAGTCTGGATTTATCAGAACTTGCAAAAGCAGCTAAGAAGAAGCTTCAGTCTGTAAGTAAAACTTCAGTGTGATGTGTGACACATCTTTGTCTGGACCTAGCAAACTCTGCACTTCATTTTTCAAGCTGGTTTCAGCTGCTATTAATTCCTGCATAAATAAATGTCAACTCTGTAGCAAGTTAGAAGTCTGGAGAAAACCATGAAAATAGGCAGAAATGGAGGAGAAGAGATGATGACAAATCCGTGACAGAACAAATATGTGTTGGTCTTGTTTGGGGTAGTATCTCTAGCTCTGTCTCCCCAGTTCAGAACCTTAAATTTTGTCATTTGTCTTGCTGTCATCTATTTTAGATAAATCTGTATGTTAAATGTTACTACTTACCTTTAACTTTCTGGAAAACCAGAACAGTGCATTACTGTCTGCTAACGAGTTGATAGTAATGCCAGTTCACTAGTTTCACTAAAGTGTTAGTGACCAAATCCGTGTAAAAATTAGAGTGGGGATATGTTTTCCCTCTACTTAAAGCTTTTAGCTGAAGCAAATGGTATCAAAGGGTAAAAATTTTGCAGTTGGGGAAAGAACAATCCTGGTGATATTCTTCTATTCAACAATGTTCATTTTTTCTCTAAAGGTAATGCTTGTGGTCATAAAATCCAGCTAAGCAAGCCAGCCTGCATAGAACTGGTATTCAAATAGTAATTGATACAAGCCAAATACAAATTCTACTTTACAACTGGCTTTATGCTGTTAACATGCTGTTAGGGGATACTTTAAGTGCATCGCTAGCTAGAAATAGAGGGATTCCTGCATTGTATTTTTGCAAGGTTGACCCTGACCAGCGCCAACACCGTCCCCTCAGCAAGACTGGGGAGAACACAGGAAGAGCAAAAGCAAGAAAACTCATAGGTTGAGATAAAGGCAGTTTAGTAGGTGAAGGGAAGAGAAGAAAAAACAAGTGAAGCAAGCAAAATAGCTGAACACCTCCCACAGGCAGACTGCTGCCCAGCTAGGCTGAACAGCCACCTTGGCAGTCCAAAACCAAACTGCTTCTTGCTCCACCCCAGCTTTTATTGCTGAACGTGCCGTGCCATGGTATGGTATGGAATATCCCTTTGGCAGGTTCTCGTCAGCTGTGCTGGCTGTGTCTTCTCCAGCTTCATGCCCACCCTGAGCCTACTTGCTGCTGGGTGGTGGGGTGGTCAGAGTTGGGGGGAAAAAGAGAATGCCTTGATGTTGTGCAAACGGTGTTCGGCAGTAGCCAAAACAAGTTAGTGTTACCAACATTGTTTTAGCCACAAATCCAAAGCATGGCAAGCAGCATGCAGGCTCCTGTTAAGAAAGTTAATTCCATCCCATCCAGACCTGGTACACAAATAAATATACTGGCTTTACCTGGGTTCAAGAATGATGGCAGTTGCTCTTTCATAAAGCATTTAGGACTCAAACTCTGGAAAAAGCGGGTCTGGTTTTCCTGTAAACAAAGCTAAACCATAGGAAAAGTGTTAGGTTTTTCACCCCTTTTAGTACAGCTTCTCCGAGAGATGGAAGATCAACCATCTACTTGGGCTTGCTTATACTGTCAGTTAGTTATCAAGTCTGGTACCCATTACTAATGTTAAGGCACTGTACATCAATGAGTGGAACATCCACAAAGCCCTGTGACATCTTAATTTCAGGTCTGATCTTCCAACAGCTCTCTTCTTCCTAACACAAGTATCTCTTTTGAATCGTCTACTGCAGGAACACAGTTTAAAACATGCAATCATTTTGTGAGTCTTCACTGTTCAGTTAAGCCCACATCTGCAGTGGCATTTGAAAACCTAATTCCCACAGTAGGTCTACTTCAGCCCAAATACACAAGGTCCTTTTGTGATCGGGTAGGAGAGAAAAAAAAAATCCATTAACCAGTAAAGGAAAAGCGTAGAACAGTATTGTTGTCTCTGTATCTAGTGATCGGGTGGTGGTATGTGTCTGCTTAATGGATTGCTTTACTATTCAGGCTGGGAAAACAGCAATTATATAGGCTGAAAAACAGCCAAGCAGAGTTGTGCTCTTATATTTTCTATGTTACAGACGTCTTCCTAGGTTTCATTGATTTTCAAGCTGTAATTATTCTCTTCTACCCTTAGCTGAGCAACCACTTATTTGAAGAACTTGCCATGGATGTATATGATGAAGTTGACAGAAGGGAAACAGATGCAGGTGAATGAGGCTTTCTGGAACGTGAATAAAATAGATCTGAATTGTTACGTTACATACAAGATGCATATGCAAGCATATGTTCTGTTTAAAGTACTTTTCTATTCAGTAATTACTGATAATGGTAGTTTCTTTGTCTTGCATTGTCTGAAGGTGACGTTAATTGAAAAAATCTTGGGTTTTTATGAAGTAGAGAACCCTCTGGGGAAAAAAGCCTTCCTTTGAATTGATTGTGTTTGTGTTTGAAATTGTGGTCTTTTATTCTTTGACAAGAAACATTGTCAAATAGTACAGGAAGGTTATTCTGTTGGGTGGTTTTTTTTTTTTTTCTCTTCCCTGAGCAGTTTGGCTTGCTACTCAGAATCATAGTACGCTTGTGACAGAGACCACAGTGGTCCCTTTTCTTCCTGTAAATCCTGAATATTCCTCAACCAGGAATCAGGTAGGCAGTCGTCTTGATACTGTAAAACTATTTTTATTTAATGGCTCTGGAATTCTAAGCAATACTGCTTTACTGTACTTCATTTACTGTAGAAGAGTTGCATTTACTTGTAAAGATGTTAAAATAGTTTCCCATTTCCCCTTCCCTGGCGTTCTAAGTAATGTTGCTTTACTGTACTTCAATACTGTAGAAGAATTGCATCTACTTGTAAAGAGGTTAAAATAGTTTCACATTTCCACTGTCCTGGAGTGTGCAGCTGGATAATTTAAATCACTCTTTTTGCAAGAAATGCAATTGAACAATCAATTCACTGTAGGTGCTGTAGTCTTAGTTTTACCTGGGAACTCTGCTGTTCATGTAATACACGATGTACTTTCTTTTTCTGCATAATTCCGTAATTTAGGGAAGACAGAAACTGGCTCGGTTTAATGCCCATGAATTTGCTACGCTAGTTATAGATATTTTAAGCGATGCCAAACGAAGACAACAGGGGAATCCTCTCACTGGTTCAAAAGGTGAGTACTCTTTTGGTTGTTGGTTCTTCTACGTGCTATTCTTCAGTAGATTAATAAATATCATAGCCTCATTCAGAAGTACTGTATGAATGAAGAAAGAAATTTATACTGTTTTTATAAATGCTAAGAACTAAATCATGTGGATAGCAGGCTATTGACAATATGCATTAGGCAACCAAAATAATGCCCAAGTACAGGAGATTTTTCTGTTATGGTTGGTATTTGTAATACAGTTAAATCAAGTGGGATATGTGCAATTCAGGAAGATCTTTTTATGATAACTTAGTAAAATTTTCCAGAATACTGCTGTGCAGTTTTACAGTGCTACTTCTTTTAATTGGCAGCTAGGATAATAGTGCTTTAGGTGCTAGCTTTCTTGGCTGCTCTATACATGCAGGACTTTGCTGTAATCTAGATGCTCTTCAGCTTATTGCTGATTTGCCTAAAAATGTTTACTTTCTATATTTCTTGAGCACGATAAATATCAACAAATACAAATATCTGTGCCAACAACCAGACAGAGCCATAGTTCTAGCCGTGATGGTGTGAAACAACATCTGAACACTACTTCTCCCTTTTGAGAGAAAATACAAAAGATCTTTTCTAACTTTCAATTTTTGCCTGTATTTTTTCATTTGAATGTTGACATTCATTTGTCCAGTGTAGTCTGTTTTGTTTTGTTTTGTTTTTTTTTTCCTTATGTGAATTTTATTAAGGTGCTAAAGCATGATTCTCCCCACTTATTTAACTTGGCTAAATACTCACAAGAAATGAAAAGACGAAACCATAAAACAGCTTGACATTTTGGACCGTAACAATCCATACCTATTAGGTGGATCTAAATTAATATTTTTTGAATTGGGCTACTCAAACGATACTTTATTATGGCATACCTTGTACTGTCTCTCTGAAGATCTTTTCTGATTTTATTTTTTTTAAATTACTTTAAAGTGCGCACTTCCGTTTCTTCTCCAAACTTACTAGTATGTTTCTAAATGGTGTATGTTGATCTACAGAAAATGTGGAACTGATACTCAAATCAATCAGCAATCAACATAGTAGTGAAAGTCAGGATAATGACCAGCCTGATTATGACAGTGTTGCTTCAGATGAAGATACAGATCTTGAAACAAATGCAGCTAAATCAAACAGACAGAAGGTAAGTTTGAAATATTTATACACACGCCAAATTTTTTTCATAAACGTAATCTGCAGTGTCTCTTTCCCCTTGTGAGGGGATTTAGCATCCGTAAATGAACAGAAAAATACTATTTTAATTCATTTTCACGTTCATTTGAGAATCACGCCTCAGCCTATGAACTTTAACACAATCAAGTTTTGTGACTTCGGGAATTTTTATTGTCAATAAAATGCTCCTATAGAAAAGTAGCGTGTTCCACTGTGCATGTCTGGAAATACAGATCTAATTTGCACAGATGAAATAATTGGATCTACTAAAACACTCTTAATCAGTGATTCCATGGTATTTCACAAACATTTACTGCTTCCTACTGAAGAAATATTTACAGCAGACCAATAGGGACTGAGTGTTTTAAACCATTCCTGGAAACAATGCAGAATGGTAAAAAAGTGGCAGTAAACCTGGTAGTTCTAGTTTTATCTGCCCTGGTAACGTCACACTGCGTATTTAGTAATCTGTCTTTTATGACTTTCCAGTTCTTTATTGCATATTTAAAAAAAATCCCTGTTAAAGAGTATTGTGTCACAAATTCTGAGACAAATGTTTTTGTGCATAGAGGAGCTAAGAGTTGATTGACATCAAATTTCTTTCATGTTGGACTAAAATTATTTTAACGTATGGCTCTTATTAATTTGAACCATGATTCCTTTAAAGTAAGTACATGAAAAGCTGACAGAATCTCATTGTCTTCTTTTCTTTTGGTAATCTCTCAATGGTGTTAAGTATTGTTCTCTTACTGTTTATAGAGCCTGGATTCAGACTTGTCAGACGGACCAGTGACAGCCCAAGAATATATGCAAGTTAAAAATGCATTGGTGGCTTCGGAGGTAAAGATTCAGCAGTTAATGAAAGTGAACATCAACTTGAGTGATGAGCTGAGAATCATGCAGAAAAAGGTACCAGGCACAATAGTGTAACCCTTTCATCTCTTGATATATTTTAAGTTGACTAGAATAAAACTGCTGAAACTGAAGATGCAATAACCCAAAATTAGGATAGTGAAAAAATTGTTTTTAAAATGGAGCTGCTTTGGAATCAGATAGGAGACTATAAATGTACATGTGCAGCACATGCTTTGAATGTGGGTTTTTTTTGTGGAGGTGATGATGATCTGCTGAGTTCATTTTGATGCAAGTTTTCCAAGTGACAAGATGGTTGTGCAAGTCATATATTTTTACTGTCTTGCTGCAAGATAAGCAGTTTTCAATACTGAGGAAGTAAGCACTAGCACACATTATACCTGTGTGCACACATCTATATAATGTACTTCCAACTTTTCAAGTAAATATGTTGTGTTTTTTTTCCATTAATAAGCCTAGGTGGAATGAAGGGAAATTAAAATTCTAATGCAGTTTGGCAGTAGAAAATATTTGAAAAGTGGCAATACAGTATAAAGTTTTTGTATACCAGGAGGCCAAGATTTATTTGTCTACTTGTGTTTGAATCCAGGGGAAATAGCACATAAAGGATATAGTGGAAAACACAATTACTGCTTTAAACCTTCAGTGTGAGTTTTGTCTAGATGAGGATAAGGTAGAGGTATCTTATTTACAGTATGAGTTACTATGTATAGATAGTCTTATACAAACAGAAAACTGAACATTTTTTGCTAAAATCCTGAATTTAAAGCTCCAAAAACCCAGTTTGGAAGCCAGACTTTTTAATTCTTATATAAACAAATCAACAATTTGTTGAATGCTTTGCCATTGTTCTGGAAAATAGACATTTTTGTGGGGTAAAGGAAAATTTTTATCTGTATTGAGTTCACTATCCTGTCTGTTATGCTAGCCTAGAAAGGGCTGGCTGCTTCCTCAAACTAATTCCTTCACCTAGTGTTAAAAATCCTGCTTTTGAATAATTACGATACTGCAAGACTTACAGGATGTGCTGCAGAATGCTCTCTCCCTGTAGAGAAAGTTGTTCAAGCTGTGCTCCTGCAGAGGTGAACCTGTGCCAAGAGCTTGTTTCCCCGTTGTTTTGGGGAAAAGAGGCTGATGCCTTGGAGAGTGGTGGGAACTGTTGAGCTCTTAACATCTGAGGCCAAGCTGATTCAGCAGATTCAACTATCTTTGTCTGTTTAGTGCCATCCTTCTGTTACAGTTGTGTTCAGCCTTTCAGATCTATTGGAATGGTGAATACTGAGAGGAACTTAAGAGATCTGGGGGTGTTTCCTTGGTCTTTCAACAGCTTGTACTGGTTAAGCGTTTCTCTGCATCAGTTCTAATTAACTTTTCACTTATATTGTTTCTTTAAAGAAATACAGTTTATTTAGGGTTAAAAAATAATCTTTAGGGCCTATGAATGAGACTTTAGTATATTTATGTGGTGTAGCAGAAGAGAGATGGTTGCTGTGCTGCAGTTGAACCTGTTTTGAAAGATGGCATAGCCCGGGCTTGCTCACCTTGAAGATGACTTGCGTTAATTTTATGTCGTGATGATGTATGTAGCTATGGGACTTCTTTAACTTGGTGTTTAGTGGCTCTGGATTGGTGAAGAATGGGTATAGCCGTGCGTCATTGCAGGATGCAGGGTGGGAGGAAGGGGTAACAGTTGGCTTAGCACTAAGCTACTGGGAACTTCAGTACAATATGGGAATTCTCTACTGGGTTATTTGTGGCAAGACACCACTATATTTGTTCTACCTCAGCAATTCTAATGCAGTAGATGTCATTCAAGAGTCTCTTTTTTTTAATCTATCTTTTTTGTTATTTTCTAAGCAAGGACTTAGAAGGTCACAAACTGAAAAAAATTATCGACTTTATGTATCACCTTGTTAGCCAACTGTGTATCTAATCTTTTTCATGGTAATTACGAAGCAGAAGATGCTAATTAAAGAAGAGGCAAAGCTACACTTGAATGCTACTTTAGAGTAGATTCTTCCTAAATAAAATTGAAAATAGTTCCATTAATTTAATGGGTATTTTAATGGAAAAAAGGTATTTTTTTTATGCCTGTGGATTTTTTTAGGCTCTTATAGGTGGTTAAGAGTTTAGTCTGAGTTTACCTAGCTGTTGGCTAAAACTGCACCAAGAGCATGTTTATAAAATGTGGAAGAAGTTTGGAAGATGGAGACTATAAGGTTGACCTATTTAATTATCTTTAATTTTAAACTCTAAAGGCATAGGTAGTTTGGCTCCTGGCAGATCCTCAAATCTTAAGACTTGATGCATCTTACTACAGAGCACACAGCAAGTGGAGAGAAAAAGCATAAATTATCTTGATAGAAGTCTGCACATTCGATGTAGAGTTCTGGGAAGTGCTCTAGACAAAATAGGATATTTTTAATAGAGATAATGTTCTTGAAGTTTCATATGATGCAAAGTAAATGCAAGTAGTAAATATGGAATTTCCTGTTTAAAAGGCCATCAGCTGTTTGAAGTATTATATTCAGTTATCGTAAAAAAAGTCAGTATCAGCAAATCTCTAACATCTTTTTTTTACGATGTGTTAATATAGCAAACTTACTCCGAGTAACTCCACAAAAAAATCAGAATTGTTGCATTTTTACTATGCATCAAATACATAATAAAAAGCTTTAATGTTATTTCTTGTTGGCTTCTTAGAAAGCAGTAGCTGATACTTATTTTTTCATAAGCTAAACTCTCTTCTTGCTTTGCCGAGCGAGCTCTAGTTTTCTCTGCACTGCCTCTGGTGTCTGTGCTGTACTTTCGGCATTTTCAGATTTCATGGGCCTTATGTTAAAGTCTTCTTTTAAGCTCTTGTAACGACTGCTGAAACGGATCACTTTGCTTGAAAAACTTTTGTTGGCAGTCCTTTCCCCCACAACCTTGTTATCTTATATGATTCATGTGCCGGTATGGCCAGGCTGGAAGAAATGGATTGTGTGTTTTTAACTGAAACAGCCAATTTTAAAATCTAATTTAGCTTGCATACCAGCTAAAACTGCTGAAAATCAGCACATAAATACTTGCAGATCTGGAACATAGATGTTTCTATGCTTATACTAAGCAAGTCAAGTAGATTTTGAAAAAGAACTCAAAATCCAGCTACTAGTAACTGGATTTACTAGGGAAGCTGACAAGCGTGTATTGTATAGTCAGTTTGCTTTTGACGCTTGCTATTAGAAAAAAAAGTCCCACTGCTAAACGTTTCTTTCAGCTTCAAACGCTACAGAGTGAAAATACCAACCTCAGAAGACAGGCCACAACCAATATATATCAGGTCCAAACTGGTTCTGAATACACAGACCCCACCAACAATTCTTCTTTAAAGCGGCGACCATCTGCACGGGGTAGCAGACCCATGTCTATGTATGAGACTGGATCAGGTCAGAAACCCTACCTCCCCATGGGAGAGGTCACATACCCAGAAGAAAGCATAACAAGACTGCAGCCTTTCCCTCCACATGTAAGTAAAACTGCTGATGCTTCTGCATTTCTTCTTACGTTCAGCTTTTCTGTCTATTCCAACTGTGCTCATTCACTGGAGCTGCTCAACTGTCTGCTTCAGAGTGAACTTGAACTGTAAGAATTGTTAACGTTTGCTGTATTAACATGTCTGCAGGAGCTTAATGTTTTAGAAAGTAAAAGCTATAACAATTCTGGAATATGTAAACTGGAGCTTTTGGCTTCTGCTCAGCTCTTTCTTTTAAGCACAATATATATGCCAAATATCAATGTGTGGCTGTTTGAAAACCAGGAGGGGGAAAAAAATAGTATTCCAAGAAGGTAGGTAAAGTTAATGGATTTCTTTCTTGAGATATACAGCCATGTGCCAATTTGTGGAACTTCAGAACCATCTTTCAAAAATAAAATAAAATTGAAGCTAACTTTTTCATTAGGCCACCAGTTTCTTACTCTGAGTTTGGAACTGGAGGCTGAATATGGTTTAGATCTGTTGAACAAATTCTGGTTTCATACTTTCCTGTATGATGTGCTAATAGTGGAGAGGGAGTTCTGTATTAGCCACGAGGATTCTGCACTGACGTGTTCACACTTTAGATAAGTGACCCAACACACACTAGTGCTTATTAAACTCATTTTTATTTTTTTTTCATCTTTTCAGATTTCCCTGTGGGGCAGGAATATGAGATGATATTTTTTAGGAACGTATTTAGTATTTATGGATATGTTTAAATATGTTTCTCTGTTGGTAGTACTATCTTGTATTTCCTTCCAGATAAACAATTAAGCCCTTAAAACATATTTGGAAGTTAACAGATTTTTTGCCTGGCATGAAGGAGGGCAAACATTCCATGCGCATTCCAGAACAGACAGTTGAGTGCACCAGGGAATCAGTGCAGAAACTTGTATGCTGGGGTTTTCCCTGCCTTCAATTAAATTAACAAGAACTCTAAACTCTGAAATCTGGATCATTTAAAATTATATCGGCATGTTGATATAAAGGCAGTTCTGGCAGCCAGAAATGTCAGAATTCTTTTGTATGTGGCAATGTTTGCAAAACATGACAGTGCTTTATATAGGTCCTTTGGTCATTTGGATTGAAATTTGGATAGAAGTAGCAGTTCTGAAGCATTGATTTGTTATCTGGAGTTACTTAATTTGGTATTATGGTGAATGTATTTTATTCTCTGTGGAATTTAGCACCTCTGGAATATCAATATTAGAATTAACATGAAGCCAATTGTATTTTGAAGGAGTTAAGTTGACTCAGGCTTAGCCAAATTCTCAAAATCATTCTTGCTTTATTTCATCTCCATGGTTTTAAGAATGTTCCTTTATTTCAGTTAAGAATTTATTTGTGTTTTGTTTTTGGTTTTCCCGAGTGTTTTTCTCTTTCCCATTTTTAGATCGGGAGGAGTGCGTTTGTGACCTCCTCTTCATCTCTACCTTCCTTCCCCTCCACGCTTTCCTGGTCAAGGGATGAAAGCACACGAAGGGTTAAGTACCTTCCCAATTGGTCTTTTACCTGGAGGAGGCGGCAATCTCCCTAGAAGCCTCTGCCTTCTCCCCTTCTATGCTGACTAGCCTTCATGCTTGCATGAAGTGGTATTTCATCACTTTCTGTTTCTTCTGCCACATGCTGTGGATACTTGCCTCTCTAACTTCACAATGGCTAAAATCTTTAGCATTTAACACCATGCACAATTACTTCAGATCACTTGTTCAACTGCGTAACACTGAAAACAACCAGAAGACAAGTTGGTTGCTGTTTGCGAAGTGATTTTGCAGGCATTCACTGGTATTTCATAAGCCAATATATAACTCTTCCTACTGACTAAAATGCACTGCATGAGGCATATGAAGCGCACTCTAGCTTTAAAGCCTGCTTTCTTTGAGGGCTGTCAGTTTGCATCAATCCAAATTGGAACCGATCGACTGTTTATCTTACAGATGTTCATTAGTTTGTTTGAAGTAAGTTCTTTAAGCATCCAAACAGATAGCCGTTCATATTGCTCATTTAGTATCAGCTAGCCTGCTTTCTGCTGATGAAAGACTGAATGAGCATGGGAATTGCTTTTAGCAAGACTCTTTTCAGGGCAAGATTAGAGACACCGAGAGCGTATAAAGGAAGCTTATAATGGCATTCCATCAGGATCTACAAAACTTTGTTCTTAGGGTTTTTGTTAGCTATGGCACGGACTAGGCAAAAAATTGCAGTGTTCCCGAGAAACATAAAATGCATTCTGTAAGCTTATGTTATTCCAAAGACACTGACTTTTGCTGTGGCCTCATATGTGAGCCGTTAGCTATTTGAAGAAGCCTTGTCTGGCTTCTTAAACTTTTTTCTTAAATGCTGTTCTCTTTTTGTAGTGGGGTACTTAAATCTGGTCTTACTCAAATTCATTTGCTAGAAGTGAGCATAAAATGCCACCTTGCAAAAGGATGCGTTTAGCAAGGCAAACTGTTTGACAGAATAGTCTGTCTGACAGCTCCTTTTTAGATGTTTATTTGGGATCCTTGAACTAATTGCAAGTTACGTATTCAAAAGAATGGAAAAGCACATTGCGTTTGCAGCTGTAGAATAACATCCATTCTGGCTGTGAAGGGGCTGTGACTGAAGTAAGGGACCCTGAGCAGGTACATCTTCATGTGTCACAGACTAATGAATGCTGAAGATGAGCAACCCATAGCTTTTGCGCTGCTCTTTGACCAGCCTGAGCTACTAGCTTGCGCTGCTTGCAGGAAGTACCCTCCATCATCAGAATGAGTTACTACATTTCGAGGTCTTGCTCTGACTAAACCTCTTTAACTTTGAAGGAAATATTGTTACAAGGTCCTTTGGGCCATTTTTAGATGTTTATGTCTCATTTCTTAGAAGATAATGAGTAGCTTATACCCATTTTGTTGTATCACATACTCAAGATTTAGGCTTTGGTTATTTCTGTGTTCAAACAAGACTTTCCGAGAGTAAACTTGAGAGAGAAATGTTTGTGTTTCTTTGTAATACTTAACTGATTGTGAAAAGATCTTTCAAGAAAAGTGCTGTCTTTTTGCTCTGCTTTTTCTGTGTGGTTAATATCATGAAATCAGTACCGTCTCATTCTCTTTCTTGGGCAAGCATTGCAGAGTCTCTCATCAAATTTTACTATACAATACTAAATTCTTCAAGAAGCGAGTTTGTGGGTTTGGATGTCGAATGGTCGTACTCTGGCCTCTTCCTGCCAGGATAAAGAACCTGCTTTTTAAACTCTTGTGTCCCCACTTCATTTTGACTGTATAGTGTTTGGCCATATCAGTTGAGAAAATATTAGATTTGCAAGTAGCGCTAGATGATAAAACTTACAAGGGAATATCCTGCTTGGTCAAATGCAAATCTAGGTTTGGCTGCAGCTGATGTAAGTACCGAGTAGTACTAGAAACTTGCAGAGGTTTTTTTATTATACACTGATTCTATACTATATTACTGATTCCATAATATCCTATTCTTATAATTCATTGTTGTCATTTATATTTCTGCCCACAGCCCTTTTGCCACTTCTTGTATTGTTCTCCTCTATCCGTCTGGGAGAGGGGAAAGGTCAAACCCTTTCATATCTTCAAAATATGTGTCATTTTTACAGTTGATCTTTGCTAGCTATCTTGAAAGGTTAGCATTCAAAAAAATGCTTGTTTTTTCCTTCTGTGCAGACTAACTTTAAAATGGACAGAAGGCGTTCCTACTCTAGGTGCTTCGGAGTGAAGAATTGTTGGTTTTAACATTAGATGAGCACTTAAGAAACGTACTGGATCTTAACCAATGAAAACCAATTCTTCATCACATTTTTGGTCTGTCCTTGAGGTAGAAGTATTGTTTCCTGTGTATGGATCAGGGATGCAAATTGAAGGTGTCCCTTATAGTCTAACATGTGAGATTCCCTCATCTTGACTTCAGTTTCTGTAAAGCTGCAAGGCTGGTTCATCAACAGAGATTGTGAAGGACCATATCACATGAGCAGTGTCTGTGACTAAGGCGGGAGCTGATGCAGAGGCTGATCTGTATGTAGAGTGACACTGACGTGGCGTACTTGCAAATGGACGAGCCGTAGTAGGCACTTCTGATGAGCTTTGCAGTTTTTAAGACTAGAGTAGGTGGATGTGTGGTGATCCTGGGGCCTGGCTGAGGATGGGAGTGTGCTTCAGGGGCTTCAAACTGCAGAGATTGGCCCGACAGTAGGTATTCGTAGCATAAACCTCCAGGATGTTGTAGTGCCTGGGCATAAACTATCCAAGAAGGCTAAACCAGGTTAGAGAAGGGAACCTAGCTCTCCATCTGAAAGTCCACTTTGAGTCTTTTGCTGACAGAGGGGGCTGTATGTTCGGATCTTCAGGGAGAGCACTCCTGAGCTGTCATGGTGCGAGTATGCTTATTTGTGTTAGCAGCCCTCTGAGAGGGTTAAAAAAAAAAAAAAGTTGAAAAGGAGTTTAGGGAAAAAAAACCTGAGCATCATCCTCACCCACAGATTGGCATCGCACCTACCATCACACCTGGGAGGAAGCGCGTGTGCTCAGAGGCAGGGAATGGGTGGCACTCTGGTTCCTGGTGTGGACGTGGTCACTGTATCTCCCCAGGGAACGCTAAGTGAAGGGGAGTGCAGGAAAGTACTGGGCCTCTGACCCTGTTTATGGCCTCCACCCTCTGGAGCAGCACTCTGCAGCTGGGCCTTCTCACACTTGATCCAGCCTCCGTGCTGCAGTGGGCCTCCCACTCTTGGTTCAGCCTCCAGCTCTGTCTTTGTCCTTCCCTCTGCCATGGTCCTCCCGCTCTAGGTTTTACCTCACCTTCCTTGTGTGCTTCCCAATCTAGGTTTGGCCTCCTACTCTGTGGTGGGCCTCCATTCTGAGGTCAGACTCACAGGTTCAGTTCACCCTCCACTCTACTGTGTGCCTCCCACTCTCGGTTGACTCCCACTCAGCTGTGAGCTTTCACTCTTGGTTTGGCCTCTGCTGTGTCTTTGGCCTCCAAGCTCATTTTGGTATCCCACCCTTCATTCATCCTTTACTCTGGGTTCAGACTCCTGGTTGGATCAGCCTCCCACTCTGCAGTGGGCCTCCCACACTTGGTCTGGCCTTCTCTTTGTGTGTCCCTATGACGCTCAGTCCAGCCTCTACTTCTTTCTGTGCCTATAATGCTTGCTCTGGCCTTCATTTCCTTGTGTGCCTCCTGCCTTCGTTTCAGCCTCCACTTTAGAATTGGCGTACCTCCATCCTTTTGACACCCATTCTTTGGTGGCCCTCTACTCTTGATGCTTAGGCCTTCTGCCTTTGTTTCATCCTATGCTGTGTTGTGGGCCACAACTCTCACTTCTTTGGCCTCCCAACCTTGTTTTGATCGCGAATGTGCAAAGTGCCTCAACTCTCTTTCCATTTCAGCCTCCATTCTGCACTGCATTCTCCCACCCCTGTTTTGGCCTCCATTCTGCAGTGGGCCTCCCCCTCCCATTTTGGCCTCTCACCCCCGTTTCAGCCTCCAATCTGCAATGGGCCCCCAGCCCCCATTTCAGCCTCCCGTCTGCAACAATCTCCAAGTCTCATTGGTTCAACTTCCTACATGCCCTTTGGTCTTCCACCTGCAGTTTGGCCTCCACTCTGGAATTGGCCTCCCACCACCATTTCAGTCTCCGGTCTTTATTTTGGCTTTCCCATTACAACAGTCCTCAACCCTCATTTTGGTCTACCATTCTGCCGTGGGCTTCCCATGCCCACGTCAGCCTCTGCTGTGGGATCAGACCCCCATGCTTGATTTGGCCTCTACTCTGTCATGGGCCTCCCACACTCGGTCCAGCCTCCTACTCTGCCATGGGCCTTCCACACTTGGTTTCATCTCCCACCTTGTGCTGGGCCTCAATTCCTGTTTCAGCCTCCCGTACTCAGTTTGGTTTCCTCTCTGCGTTTAGCCTCCTGCGCTGTGTCTGGCCTCCAGTCTGCCGTGGGCCTCCTGCTCTTGGTCTGGCTTGTTCCTCCCCGGTGGTCCTGCCCTCTCCCTTTGGCCTCTGCTGCACTGTGGGCCTTCCCCTGCCTGCCCACCGGGCAGTTTCAGTGCTGTGCTGTGGTCGCCTGTCCCTCCCCGCAGCCCCGCAGGGTGCCGGGGCAGAGCCCTTGCTGCAGGTCTGGTGTGGCCGTGCTGTGCCGGCAGCGCCCAGGGCCTCGCGTTCAAGCTGGCAGCAGGAGCCCGGCACAGGGCAGGGAGGCACACCAGGCTGCAGGGTAGCGGCTGGTGCAGGGACTCTTGTGCTAAAGAGCAAGCCCACGTATGCAGGACGTGGCGCTGGCACAGCTCGGGGCTCTTCTTTCCTGCACAGCGCTGAAATAAATCTGTATTCCTCGCAGGCCTCGAAGCTGGAGAAGCAGAGCAGCGTGTCTGAGAGCGACTATGATAACCCCACCACCCCCTTGGAGCTGGAGGAGACGGGGTAGGTGCTGCGACGCAGAGCTGACGCCGCAGTGACGCAGAGCTGACGGCACAGGTCCCCGCTGTCGGAGGATGGGGAGTTGTGTGAGCAGTTAGTTCTGTCCCGCAGGGCCAACCTCTGCTTTGTTCCTTCGCAGGTCAGGCAGGAAGGGCCGGCAGAGGAGCGTCATTTGGCAGGGGGAGGGATCTATCCCTGAAGACGCCGACACAGCTCCCAGCTCCAGTTTGCCCAGTACAGAAGATGTGATTCGGAAAACTGAGCAGATCACGAAGAATATTCAGGAGTTGCTGCGAGCAGCGCAAGAGAACAAACATGACAGGTAAGGTATGAGTGCTGGAAAAGTTCTGGAGTCTGTGAGAAAATGAAGAAAATTCTCCAGGTGTTTGCAGAAGTACAACTACCACCCCCCGCGTTAACGCTGGAGGTACCCATTTCACACCTACAAAATGCGTAGGTCCGTGGTGTTTCCTGGTGTACTGGACCAAGTGCCACGGGGTGAGTAGGGACGAGTGACCAGCGCAGGCGGTGGGAACACGCACTCCCTGTGAGTGGGTTCTGGCTGCAGCGCTGCCCGCTGCCTGCCCACAGCCGGCACAGGGACAGGGAGCGCTGAAGTCCTGCTGCAAAGTGAGTGGTGTTTTAGATATAAATCAAACCAGTATTGCAGAGAGAACTTGGCATAAGTTCTCTCCTCCATGGACCTCCATGTCCTCGGGTAGGGATACCCCACAGAAGTGCAATAGTAACACCAAGTCTGCTTTCAGGAGAAAATTGCGAAGGCAGGGAGAATTTGGCTTTCCTAATGAAATATTAGTACAGATAACATCCCAGCAAAAGCAACTGTGAACTGTTGGGTTTAAACACAGACGTAGCTGGGTAATCAGGTAATCAGGAGGCTGTTCAGCAGCACGCCAGGCAGCACGCAGCTTCAGCTCCCGCAGGGAACCTCTGGCCCAACTGAACAATTAATGTTCAGAATAGCTGTGAGTGAGCCGAAAATGATAGTGCCCCCCTGTCTGGTCCATCAGGTGGTGCTCCTGCACAACTCTTGCAGAAGACTGTAAATAGGAGTTATGTCTTCCCGGGTGCAAACACATTTTAGGTCTGGAACAGCTCTGGTCTCAAGAAAATCGGAACTTGCAGACTGGCAGGTCCTACACTCCGCCTCCCATCCCAAGCTCTGTGCCCGTCTTTGCCTGTGAGAAGCAGCTGGCGATTTGTGTTAAGCCCTCGCTTCCTGCCTCGCTGAGAGAAGTGCACAACAATGGGGCCACTTTTGTTCTATGTTTTTTCCTTCTTGTACTTTTCTATTTTTAGAAGGGACAGAGCGTGGCCTCTCCTCCTCACGCTGAATGGCGAGTTCTAACGTGTTTGTGCGGAGCTCGTTGCCCTTGTTCTGTAACCTTTTCCACTGCAATCCCTTGTTGCTCGTTTCTCACAGATCATAACGAGAAGCAACAGTAAGAGAAGCTTTAAATGAGTTTGGTTTTTATGTATATCACAGTTTACAGTATTTTAACTAGATTTAAAAAAAAAAAACTGAAAGAAACAATGCAGTGTGCCTAGCTTTCGCTGTTAAATTGAATAGATTTTGAAACAACCTGTTATGTTCTTTTTTGTTTTCTCTTGGAAAACAAAACTTGGTGTGGAGTGGGGTGTTTGCCAGTACTTAAATGAGTATAATCTTGCAAAACACTGAACTGTGAAGCTGCTGTTCTTTGTTTTCCTATTCCCTGGCTTTGCCTCAGGGGGCTGAGAACTGCCCAGCCTGGGGCACGCAGGAGTAGGCTTGTTCCACCATTCTCTTCTTGCAGTCACAGAACGCTTCCTTAACAAAATGACATACTTAGGGATGTAATAATGCATCTCCCAAGCTAATGCTGGGAACGTTGTAGATAAAAATCACGTGCTGCATAGATAATCAGAGTAATAAAATGATGCAAGAATATCATCTGTTAATGAAACACTTTTTTTTTTTTTTTTTTCTCCTTGCCTTCTTCCATTTCTCTTCCTGTGCTCAACTGGCCAAGTAGACCGTTAGAGCATGCGGGCATGCTCAAGCTCAGACATAGCCTCGGCTGCTTCAGCTCGCTGGTTCCCTGGGCTGAGAGAGCTCCCCTGCAGCCTCTGACCATCCAGCAGCCCGGTCCTGCCTCCTGGTACTCTGGCCTCTGTCCCTGCCTCCCAGGCACAGTGTCCTTTCTGTCTCTCTCTGCTGCCTCTTTC